TTGCCAAAAAAATGTAGGTAATTTGAGAAGATCTAATAGTTGTTGACCTTTAAGTGGTTCTGAAACTCTCCTATGTCATTGTTCTAAAGGTTTTCTTGAAGAGGTTCCCAGGTTTCCTTACAAAGTTCTCACGGTCATTTAGGAGGAACTTGTAGTTTTTGAACAATGTGTGGTTATTGAGGAGCATTTTAAAGTTCTTGGACATATTTTGTGAATCTCAGATAAACTCCAGGTTCTCATTAGAGGTTCTTAAAGAGGTTCCCAGATTTCCTGGCAAAGTTCTAGAGGTCATGCAAAAGAATCCAGTATTTTTTTTTATTTTTTCAAACTTCATGCGGTTCTTGAGGAAGATGCTGATGTTCTTTCTTCTAAAGGTTCCAAGGTTTCTTTCCAAAGTTTTTAAATTAATTTAGGAGGATCGAATCGTTCTGGACTACGGTGAGAATCCTGAAAGTCGCCTCAACAAGCCGTCAACCATAGATGGTTCCTTTACCATAAATCTACAGAAGCTTTGGATAAATATGTTCCTTGAGGAGCCGTCTTCTTTTTCAAACTGTAAATATCCACGTCTCCAAATGGATCATAGGAACCATTTGGAGAAGTAAAGAACTCCAAAAGATCCTTCAAAGAACCATCAAAAGTGGTTCCTTTAGGCGCCATAGATGACGTTCCAAAGAACTTTAGCAGAAATAGGTTCTTTGAGGAATCATTTTCCAGAGTTTTCTGTGTCGACCCAACTGATTAATTTGTAAGAACCAAAGTCAAATGTCAGAATTTCCAGATATTTCTGGGTTCCTTCGATCAGAAACCCTTTTATTATTTTGGGTTCTTCATCAGATGGAACAACAAGATGTCAGTTTGAGATTTGTGGAACTGTGATGGACGTTTCTTTAATGTTCTCTGGTGGTTTATGGAACAAATGGTTTGTCAATAATGTAAATAAATATGAATTGCCACTTTAATTATTCGCTGTTAACCGCCACCAAATTAAAGAACTTCAACAAACATGAAGAACCTTTAAAGAACCTCGTAAAGCAGGTGAAGAACCATCCGCTAAGTAAAGAGGTTCTTCAGTTAGTAAAGAACCTTCTGAAGAACCTTTCAGGAACCAGAGTTTTTGGTTTTAGTGAAGGTGTTCCTACTGAGCATCTGCAGACGAGGACAGTTCTGAGTTCTTCTCCTCGACCAGGAGCTGGGTTTCTGTACTGATCGGTTCTGTCATCATTAATAATCAATCGAAGTCTCCGATCGGTTCCGCCTGAGACTCTGTGTTTTCTTTAACAAGCGGCTGAAGAAACTAAAGAGGAACTGATCTGAGAGCAGCTTCCCAAACGGCCTGAAAGCCGCCATCTGTCCACGCCTTTGTGCGTCTGTGTGTGTCTGCCGTTGTGTGTTTTCACGTCTGAACCCTGAATGGGTTTTTTTCCTCCTTTCTGCCTCTGACTGACAGCAGCAGCACTGGAATGCCTTCAGTCTGATGAATGGGCCCATGTACATGTGAAGGAGGCCACGCCCCCTTTCTGGCAGCCATATTGGACGCCCTTGTTTACCTTCCTGTCAGTTCTCACGTTGGTTCATCAGATTGTCCCTCTGAACTCGTTTTTCCTTCAGTTTGTTGCTTCTGGTTGTTTGTAGTTTTTCCTCTGAGTTTGTTGAATTCTGAGCGTCTCAACTTTCCTGATTTTTCACTGAAGGAGGAGAGACCTCAGAGATGTCTTAGAATGACAGAAATCAGGAACAAACAAGAGGTTAATTTCACAGATGTTACCGACACTGGATGTACGCCGCCTGCAGTTCAGCCGGAAAGTCTCTAAACTTTTGGTCACATCTGAGGCTGAAAGGTTGGAGACGATGGACGCTCCACCTGCTGTAGATGTTTCACTGCTTGTGTTTTTAACTTGAGTCCATCCGAGTTTCTACAAACCAAATATAAAATATTTCTTATAGTTAATATTTAGGAATGACAGAAACCATCACAAACAAAACCCTGAAATCAACGCGTCCAACATTTTCTGAAGTCTGCACAAGTGTTAGCAATGCTAGAAATTAGCCGCCTGATGCTAACATGTTGCTAACGTTACTAGAGTTTGCTTTTGTTTGTAGCTTTACAAAATAAGCAGCTACATCATGAGGACAGTCGCAGGTCGTTTTTATTTAGAAATTAGTCAAAATGGCTGAAACTTTGTCTTATATTAGTCAGAATCAGTCCAAAATGTCTAAAAGATTATCACAAAAAAGTGCCAAAAATGACGCAAATGGACA